CACAAAACTACCACAAACTGACACAAAATATCCCCAAACAGATATAAAGTATCCGTAAAGAAACACAAAGCAACCACAAAGACAGGAAAAATGACGACAAAGACACACAAAACTACCACAAAACTCAGTCGTTGGACGTTAGGACAGTTGCAGAGAGAATGAATGTGCCACCATGTTGTCCTGTGACTGCAGGGACACGCCGCGGTCACGTACAGTAACAGTGACCACGGGTTGACCTCCACAAAACACAAAGTCGCGCAGACACACACAGACACACACGAACCCGGCTGAGGAAAAAGCAAAAGCGAGCAACAATCGGTGGCTGGGGTCGAGGAGGAAAAGCTGCAGCGAAATCAAAGAATGAGTGCAGAGTGAGCGGCGCTGCCAGGGCGGAGGACCGAGCCCGGCTCCGCTGCACTTTGATTCAACTTTTTGGGAGTTTTTTTTTTTTTTTTTTTTCAGAAAAACAAAACATAAAAAATAAGGAGAAAAAGCAGAGAGAGTCTGGGAACCGGCTCTTGTTGTTCTTCTCAGATCTCCCTGTTGTCCCATCTCGTTCAGCTGCTTCACACAGCCCTCCTCTATCTATCTCCTGCACTTCCTCACTTTGCATATTTAACCTCCTTCTCCTCTGTTGTCTGCTGTCTGGTGTGAAGCTATTCAGGCCACATGGTTTTACTGTGCTGCTGTTAAAGCTGCGGGTGGCATCGCACGGGGCAGCAGAAGGAAGTAAACGTCCTATTTATTATGATTACAGTTAGGTTCATTTGGACACTGACACAAGTTTTGGTTTTTTTGTTTAATGAAAGATATTAGTTGTATAACGGACATGGACATAAAGTGCAGACTCTCAGCTTTCATTTGAGGGTCTCCACATTGAAATTGGATGAAAGGTTCAGGAGTTTCAGCTCCTCAACATGTGCCACCCTATTTTAAAAGGGACCAAAAGTAATTGGACAACTGACTCCAAGGCCGTTTCATGGGCAGATGTGGGGCGTTCCTTCGTTATGTCATGACCAATTAAACATATTAAAGGCCTGGAGGTGATTTGAGGTGTGGTGCTTGCATTTGGAGGATATTCTTCACGCAGAAAACAGAAAAAAACCCATCCATCCTATACAATATTAGGAGTGGCAAAATCTACAGTTTGGTACATCCTGAGAGAGAAAGACAGAAAGCACTGGTGAACTCGGCAACGCAAAAAGACCTGGATGGAAGACAACAGTGGTGGATGGTGAAGAGAAAGCCCTCACAGTAGCCAGCCAAGTTAAAAACACTCTCCAGGAGGTTGGCGTGCCATTGTCCAAGTCTATCATAAAGAGAAGACTGTTAAAACAAAAAACAGCAACATCTAAACAAGCCAGCACAGTTCTGGAAGAACATTCTTTGGACAGATGAAACCAAGATCAACCTCTACCAGAAGAACGTATAGAGATGGCGTGGTACAGCTCATGATCCAAAGCAAAACACATCATCTGTAAAACATGGCGGAGGCAGTGTGATGGCGTGGCCATGCATGGCTGCCAGTGGCACTGGGTCACTGGGGTTTACTGATGATGTGACATACAAGTAGGACACGAGCAGCCGGATGAATTCTGAGGTAAATCCAGCCAAACTGATTGACCCAATGACCCAAAACCTACAGCCAAAGCAACCCAGGACTTTATTAAAACAAAGAAGTGGAATATTCTTGAATGGCAAAGTCAGTCACCTGATCTCCACCCAGCTGAGCAGCATTTCACCTGTTAAAGACCAAATTTCACAAAGAAAGGCCCACAAACAATCCGCTGAGGTAA